AGGCATCCTTGGGAATCCGTAGGCATAGTTAAGCATCCTCAGGAATCCTTAGGAATCCTCAGGATTCCCTAGGAATCCTTAGAAATCCGTAGGAATCCCTAGGAATCAGGATTCCTGAGGATTCCCAAAGTTTCCTAAGGATTCCTATGGCTTCCTCGGGATGCCTACGGATGCCTTAGGAATCCATAGGAATCCTTAGGATCCCATTGGATCCTAAGGCCGTTGCCACTGCGACTGTCATTGCGAATGCGACTGCGACTGCGAGAACAGCAGAATTCTACAACTGGATTCTCACATGCAAATTAAGGGGAATGCTTCCAGAGATGCTTATACACATCGCTGTTCGGTTGCTTTGCCGGGATAATTTTCCTAACAGCGAAGACTGATAGGTTTCTAGTGGGCCCAAAAGAGAGCAGCATGACTCCCCAAGGGGGTCTGGGCGGGATCCGGACGGGTGCGGGGGATTCTTTTTTAGCCAACAGTAACGCACTTCGTGGTCTTCGAGTTCCCAGAACTCCATTCCTGGGCATGATTTTGAATGCCTGGAGCCAACTGTAAGCCACTTCGTGTTCTTCGAGTTCCCAGAACTCCATTCCTGGGCATGGTTTTGAATACCCGGGGCCAACTGTAGGCCACTTCGTGGTCTTCGAGTTCCGAGAACTCCATTCCTGGGCATGATTTTGAATGCCCGGGGCCAACTGTAGGCCACTTCGTGGTCTTCGAGTTCCCAGAACTCCATTCCTGGGCATGAACTTGAATGCCTGGAGCCAACCGTAGGCCACTTCGTGTTCTTCGAGTTCCCAGAACTCCATTCCCGGAACACAGTTTGAATGCTGAGGCAGACTGGTGCTGAGGCTGAGGCAGGCTGAAGCTGAGGTAGGCTGAGGCTGAGGCTGAGGCTGAAGGCAGACTGAGGCTGAGGCTGAAGCAGGTTGAGGCTGAGGCTGAGGCAGGCTGAGGCTGAGGCTGAGGCAGGCTGATGCTGAGGCAGGCTGAGGCTGAGGCTGAGGCTGATGCAGGCTGAGGCTGAGGCAGGCTGAGGCTGAGGCCGAGGCTGAAGGCAGACTGAGGCTGAGGCTGAGGCTGAGGAGGCTGAGGCAGGCTGATGCTGAGGCAGGCTGAGGCTGAGGCTGAGGCAGATGCAGGCTGAGGCCGAGGCAGGCTGAGGCCGAGGCCGAGGCTGAAGGCAGACTGATGCTGAAGCTGAAGCAGGCTGGGGCTGAGGCTGAGGCAGGCTGAGGCTGAGGCTGGATCCAATGGAATCCTAAGGATTCCTATGGATTCCTAAGGCATCCTTAGGCATCCCGAGGAATCCATAGGAATCCTTAGGAAACCTTGGGAATCCTTAGGAATCCTGATTCCTAGGGATTCCTACGGATTCCTAAGGATTCCGAGGGAATCCTTAGGATTCCTCAGGATTCCTGAGGATGCTTAACTATGCCTACGGATTCCTAAGGATGCCTACGGATTCCTAAGGATTCCTGGGGATCCCTATGGATGGATGATTGCCTCAGCCTGCCTCAGGCCTCAGCCTCAGCCTGCCTCGGCCTCAGCCTGCGTCAGCCTCAGCCTGCAGCCTCAGCCTGCCTCAGCCTCAGCCTCAGCCTCAGCCTGCCTGCCTCGGCTTGCCTCAGCCTCAGCCTCAGCCTGCCTCGGCCTCAGCCTGCCTCGGCCTCAGCCTGCCTCAGCCTCCCCTCCTCCCCCCCCCTTCCCCTCCCCCCCCCCTTCAGCCTCACCTTGTCTCAGCTTCGGCCTGCCTCGGCCTCATCCTCATCCTCAGCCTCAGCCTCAGCCTGTCTCGGCCTGAGCCTGCCTCGGCCTCAGCCTCAGCCTGCCTCAGCCTCAGCCTCAGCCTGTCTCAGCCTCAGCATCAGCCTCAGCCTCAGCCTGCCTGCCTCGGCTTGCCTCGGCCTCAGCCTCAGCCTGCCTCGGCCTCAGCCTCAGCCTGCCTCAGCCTCATCCTCAGCCTGCCTCAGCCTCAGCCTGCATCAGCCTCAGCCTCAGCCTCGGCCTCAGCCGCAGCTTGCCTCAGCCTCAGCCTCAGCCTCAGCCTGCCTCAGCTTCAGCCTCAGCCTCAGCCTGCCTCGGCTTGCCTTCAGCCTCAGCCTGAGCCCGCCTCGGCCTCAGCCTCAGCCTCAGCCTGCCTCAGCCTCAGCGTCAGCCTCTCAGCCTCAGCCTGCATCAGCCTCAGCCTCAGCCTCAGCCTGCCTCAGCCTCAGTCTCAGCCTGCCTCAGCCTCAGCCTGCCTCAGCCTCAGCCTCAGCCTGCCTCGCTGTTAGCCTGCGTCAACCTCAGCCTCAGCCTGCCTCGGCCTCAGCCTGCCTCGGCCTCAGCCTGCCTCAGCTCGGGCAGTCAAAATATGGCACAGGACTGGTGTTCTGGGAGCTCGAAGATCACGAAGTGGCTCACAATCGGCTCCGGGCAATCAACATGTGGTACAAGAACGGTGTTCTGGGAACACGAAGAACACGAAGTGGCCTACAGTTGGCTCCGGGCATTCAAAATGTGGCCTGGGAATGGTGTTCTGGGAACACGAAGAGCACGAAGTGGCCTACAGTTGGCTTCGGGCAATCAATATATGGTACAGGAATGGTGTTCTGGGAAGACGAAGAACACGAAGTGGCCTACAGTTGGCTCCGGGCATTCAAAATGTGTCCTGGGAATGGTGTTCTGGTTCAAAATGTGGCCTGGGAATGGTGTTCTAGGGAGTCCCCGGATCTCCCCAGATTCCCGCGGCACCCGTCCGGCATCTGCCCAGATCCCCCTGGGGAGTCATGATGCTCCCTTTTGAAACCAACAGAAACCCATCAGTCTTCGCTGTTAGGTAATAGTCAAATGAGTTCCCCCATATCAGGCGTGGACCCGCGGCACCCCCGACTGAGTTCCCCCATATCAGGCGGGCACCCACGGCACCCCCGACTGAGTTCGCCCATATCAGGCGCGGATGTCCGGATTCCCCCGGATCCCGTCCGGATCCCGCCCAGACCCCCCTGGGGAGTCAAGATGCTCTCTTTTGACACCACAAGAAATCTATCAGTCTTCGCTGTTAGGTAAAAACCTCGCTGGTATCCCCGCCGCGCCCTCGCCGCGCCTGACACCGCCAGCCCCCTGGCGTCCTGGGCCCCGGTCGCCGCGCCTGACACAGCCAGCCCCCTGGCGTCCTGGGCCTGGGTTCTCAGGGGCCACCCACCCTGCAGAAAATCTCGCCGGCGCCCCCCGCCAGGCTCCCGCCGCGCCTGACACCGCCAGCACCTCCGCGTCCTGGGCCTGAGTTCTTCGAGGCCACCCGCCCTGCATGCCAGCGACCCCCGCCAAGCCCTCGCCGCGAGTGACACCGCTAGCCTCCTGGCGTCCTGGGCCCAAGTTCTCACGGGCCACCCACCTGCAAAAACCTCGCCGGCACCCCCCACCACGCCCCTACCGCACCCGTCGCCGCCAGCCCCCCGGCGTCCTGGGCCTAGGTCACCGCGCCTGACACCGCCAGCCCCCTGGCGTCCTCGGCCTTGGTTCTCACAAGCTTCCCACCCTGCAAAAACCTCGCCGGCCCCCCCCCGCCACGTCCCCACTGCGTCTGACACCGCCAGCTTCCTGGCGCCCTGGCCTTAGGTTCTCAGGGGCCACCCACCCTGCAAAAACCTCGCTGGCACCCCCCACCGCGCCCGCACCGCGCCTGACACCGCCAACCCCCTGGCGTCCTGGGCCTAAGCTCTTAGGGGCCACCCACCCTGCAAAAACCTCGCCAGCACCCCCCACCACGCCCCTACCGCGCCTGACACCGCCCGCCCCCTGGCGTCCTGGGCCTAGGTTCTCAAGGGCCACCCACCCTGTAAAAACCTCGCCGGCACCCCCCAACACGCTCCCACCGTAAATACGCATGTCTCCGTTTGTAAATATGTATGAGGGTTTAGGTGTGGTGATGTGGAATGAGGTCAGTGTGTATGTAGTCATGTGCATGTGTAGATGTATATGTGCATTTCATGGGTATGTATATGCATATGTAGATTATACATGTAAACGTGTGTGAATGTGTGCATGTATGCATACAATCATGCATGCATACATGCATGCATCAGAGAGCACGCAAACATGCATGTATGAGTGTATGTATGTATTCATGAAGGCGTGCATGCATGTATGGTTGTCTGTAGGTATGTATGCATGTGCACATGTTTGTAGATATGTGTGTGTATGTACGTATGTATATATGAACGTGTATATGTATGCATGTGCGCATGTACGTATGAGTGTATGCATGCATGGATGCATGAATGTATGTATGCATGCACGTATGTATGTGTTGTACGTATGTATGTATACTACGTGCGTAAGAATGCATGAGTGCGCATGTATCTACATGTGCTAAACATGGGTTCGCATATGTTTGCATGTATTTATGTACGTCGGTAGATAAGCATGTAGGTATGTGGGCAGCAAGGTAATCTTACGGTGTCTGCCAAACTTTTGAAGGATCTTGGAGTTCGATGCTGACTTTGCAAGGAGATACATCGCGAACCGATTTATTCAAGGCTTTAAAAGCTGCTCTACAAAGACACTCCCTGCTAACTAGTGTCTACCTACCTATCAGTGTCTATATCACTCTGAGAATCGTTCCTGCGAGCCGGTGTCTACATCCCTCGAATGGTCGCTTTACAACGAAATTCCTGTAGACAGGTGCCTACATCCCTCTAGCGACCCTCTTCTCCATGTAAAGTTCTGCATTTCCAAGAAATAAAGCGCGTTAGACCGATCTGGTTCCCCCAGGCCCTCTCCTTAGAGAGCTTCGCCCCACGAGAATCTCATCACTCGTGCCTCGCTCTCTCCGTCAACTCTCCCCGTCTTCGTAGAAAGCCACCCCCCTCGCCCCACTCCCTCGTGCGCGCCGCCGGAAAGGAGGGCGCATACGCACCGCGTAGGCATTGAGAACGTTGCCAAACAAAAAGGCGTCAACTTGATTGGAGCACTCCCACATCGACGGCCGGCGCGTGGGGCGGGTGGGCTGCCGTTGAGCGTCTGGCCCGACTTCACCTGCTCCTGGAGCCCCACCTGGCAGTCCTCACGGCACGACGCGGGGAGAGCAGTGCAGGCACGTCGTGGCGAGGACGAGGGGAGGACGCGGGAGGGGCGCCGGGTCTCTGAAGAGCGCCTCCTCGCTGGGCATGCCCGCGTGGGTGTCAGTTGAGACTCGACGTAGGTCTTGACCAAAGCCTGCCTCACTCGCGGCAGCCTTCGCCATTCTACTCGGCACGTGCAGCCTGTCAGGCCCCTTGTACGTTTGGCTATTCGCATGGTGCTCCTCCACACATTGCTCCGAAACTCGCGCAGTCCAGAACAATGATACAATTGTGCGAGCACTCTGTTTGAGACACCGTGAGCTCACTTTGCGTTTTTCCTGGGAGGGCCAAGAGGCCACTCCTTCTGACCTGCGTTACCCGGGCGCGTTTTTCGGTTCACGCGAATTTTGGAAGGAATGAAAGGAAATCTGAGGTGAATGGCAACGCGTCGACCTTTAACCAGGCGCGGTTCTTGGTGCGAAGCCTGCAGCGGCTCCAGGGGGAACGTCAAGAAGTCCCGAACTCTGGACTTGAAGCGTTCAGCAGGGACCCAAGGCGTCGCAAGCAAATGCATCTTGCTCGGTAAGCCTCCCCGACCTCGGACGAAAGAAAGGGGGTCCTGAGGGGAACGGCTCCTGGACCCTGGGCCTTTCCACTGCAACATTTGTTCTATCCCGAGCCGCTTCTTCACGGCCATGGAACCCTCGAGGGGCCCCCAGAAACCGACAACTGAAAAACATAGCAAGACCCTTTCCTGCAGGACTCATCGTCTCCATGACGACAAATGCCAAGCCTCGATACCTTGCGCTGGCTCAGCGAATAGTTGGCCAGCTATCGTCAAGCACCGCAAGGGGCGGGACGGTTGCGCTGCAGCCCATGCTGGCGGTATCCCTGCCGATGTGAAGCTGGATGGGGGCGAGCAGCCACCAACTTCTCCTGCTGCTCTCGGGTGCACGGCGTTTGACAAAAACACTGGAAGGAAGGGGGGGCGCGGAAGTCCCAGCAGGTCTTCAGGATGACTCGGGAGACCTCTGGAGGCCTCTGGAAGCCCAGAGGAGTGGATGAGGACGGAGGAAGAGGAGGGGGAGATATGAGGAAAGAAAGGAGGCGGCGGAGGAGGATGACTGATGAGGAGAGGACAGAGGAGGAAAAGGGGAAAGAGGAGGAGGAGGATGAGAAGGAGGAGGAGGAGGAAAAGGAGGATTATGTCTTTCATCAGTGATCCCGTTGGGGCCAAACCGATGGGCGACAGGCTATCACATGTCTGCTGATGAGGAGGCCGTCGCAGCCTTTGTTGCCGCCTCCCCAGCCTGAACCTTTGCAGAATTGCAATCATCCTCTCATTTCGGAAGGGGCCAGCGACAGCGCCTATGAGTCTTCTGCAACCTCTGGAGGAGGCGGCGGGGTGGCAACATAACACGAGTAAGCAGGTTTCCTTACGAGAGGTGGCCGGCACCACGGACCTGTTACGGTAATGAAGGTACCAACCCTCGCGAATCCTGCGGAGGTGGGATCTTCTGGAAGCCTACGTCGCTGGCAATCCATACCTATCAAGAACCATCGATCGACTCGCGGCGTACGCCCTGCACATCGTACAGAAAAATAATATTCTCACGATGCATGCGGCAATGAACGCGGGTGTGCCCCAGGGAGAAATCTAAAGCAAAGCGAACCGTTTTGCTCATACCTTTACATCCAGACACGGGTCTGGTCGACAGCTCCATGCGGAAACACAAGCAACGCAGACAGCGGCAGCGTATTTGTCCCAAGACCTCCCAACAATGCCAACATCCATATTTTCAAAATTCAGACCCAGGCCCCGACACCAGACGTTCGATTTTTCTGGTGGGCAAGCGGACGAAACGTTACCTATAACACATGCAGCGATGGGAAGGGAATTGCATATCTTGTCCACCTCCTGCACTTCGGGCGAGGAGGGCTGGGGGCATGCGAAAAGAGCTCGCTCGGCCTGGACATCCGCATTCCAGCTCCCAACTCCGATGCGTAGCTCTTCCTTGGGTAACGCATCCAACGCATCCCTCGATGGCTGCGCTGTCGTGTGAAAACTGGTACAGCATGGCCTGGTGCGCAGCAGAAGAGCGCCCCACGTCGTTAACCAACATGCGGGTGTTTACGTGGAACTTTGTCCTCACGCGCTGCACCGCTTAGCAACCGTCATGCTGTTCCCGAACATGAATCATCGTGCTCCTGGAACACGGAGAGGAGGGCCATCGCCTGGCGACCAGCCGCTGGGGAGGCCTGGGGGAGCACCTCAAGAACCGCCCCATCGAGCGATCGCATTTTTCTGGCGCGTGCCAGGATCCAAGGAAACTCAAGAGTGGGAGGCCCTGGACAACTCGCGGACGCAATGTCTCGCCGCCGAACCGTCGATGCAGACGCCCGCCCCCCGCAGATCGATCGACCCCCGGGCCGCCTCTCAGCCCCAGCAGCACCATGCGCAATATGGTCGGGATTGTCAAGGGGAATGAAGTGGAGGCCGGTCCACAAGAAACCTTCAGCAAAAAACCAACCATGAGGCTCCGGGGCACCCATGGGTTTTTGGCGTGGGAGCGCCGCGCTCTCCATGGCAAAACCATCGATGCCCGAGAAATCCAAGGCACCCTGGAGGCAAAAAGGGTGTTTCTTGGCATGGGTCTCCACTGCATAGCTTTCAGGATGATCCTGTGTCATCCCAGCGGCCAGCGCGGTAATGCTCGTCCTCGCTGCCGAAGGCCTCGCCGAGCCAAGTCTGCGGGGCGTCCTCGAGCGCCTCCGCCAGCGCCCTGGCGGCGCCGAACTCGATGCCGAACTCCGCCGGGTCGCCCGCGCGACGGGCGCGCGCCGTCTGCCCGATGCGCCGCCGAGCGCGCGCGCGAGCGCGCGCGCCCAGACCCCGCCGTAAAGACATAAGCGAAAGCCGTCTACTTTTTTCTCCGCGAGGAGTCGTATTCATACCCTGAAGGCACAAGAGGCGCCTGCGGGGTCGCGCACAAGCACGGGCACCTTAGAAAAAAACTGTATTTTTAGTCGGATTGCGTCCGCGATGCAGCTGGACGGCCAAGTCGAGCGCGTGCGAGGGCGCGGACGGGGGGGGCGCATCCTGAGTGATCCCTCCCTACCGTAGACACCGAGCTGAGCCCATAGTAACTCGCAAACGCGCGCAGAGTGGGGCCGCGCGAGGAGAGACGCGTGACCTCATCAGCAACATGAGCACTACTCCACATCTGGCACACCTGCTTAAAGGAATAAAAATCCGAGGACTTGCAAGAGCAACCGACATGACAATGGACCGAGTAAGTACAGGCGCCACACCGGTCATCTGCATGGGGTCTCCCAGACTGGCCAGTCTAGCCTGCGAAGAGTGACCTTGGTGTCGGGGTGGTTCGTAAGAAAGCAGGACCCGTCGAATTCCTGGAAGCTCGCGGCGGCTCAACCCCGCGACCGCGCAACCCGCATTGGCCCTGGGCAGAGCGCCGGCAACGCGAAGTTTCTACATCTGTCATTTTCGCGTGGGAAGAATGCGCCTGTGGCGCTTGAGCACGCGACGTCGGCGCCTCATGGCACTCAAACGTGCCATTCGCTTCCGCGAGGCCAAGCGCGCCCCCCCCCCTGCGCGCCGGTGCCAAGTCCGCGCCCGGAATGGCAGCGCCGTCGGTCGCTTGGCCAGCCGCGCACCCGATCAGACGGCAATCAGCTTGGCCATCGCCAGGCCGCTGGTGCACGCGCTGACATCATCGGGGCGAGTGGCCGCCTTGAGGTTGCACAGGAGAGAAATAGAGATCCGCCGAAGCCCTCGAGATGCCCCAGAATACCTGCAGCTGAGGGCCCTCGGCGGTGACGCTACAATCGGCGACGCGCAACGACGGTCAGACGTCGGGGCTCAAAGAAAAAATGGCCGAAAGCTCCACCGACGCTGCAAACCCCAGCGAGAATGCCATTGAATGCGTCTCCCACGGGCAGCCCAGAGGTAACGAAATGCGGGAGGTCCCCGTGCTGGGCCCCCAATCTGAGCAGTCGCGGGCCTCACCAGAAACTGAAAACAATTTTGGCGATTGACGTTCTGGCGCTGCAATCGCTGTCGCAGAGGGCTCGAGCCGCAAGATTTGCAATGCTCGGCCCCCGGGCTGCCTCATCATCGCGGCGGGCCGCTCCAGAGCAAGCGGCCTCATTCCGCGCGGCATTCTCAATGCTGCGACCGCGTCCGAACGCCCAATGATTGCGGGGAGCTTCCGACCAAATCCAGGATCGCAGGTCGCCGATGCCTCTCCTGGACACGCAGGGGGCCCGCGCAAGGGAGGGCGGGTCGCAATTCTGCCGCCGTCTTCGAGGAAGAGAAAAGAAGCCGGACCAAGTGCTCGATAAACAAGCTGATCGACCAAATTGCTTTGGCCATCGCCTGAAAATTTCAAGCCGCGCCCGGCTCTGCACGCGGCTGACGCGGGCGCGCGCCGTCGAGGGATCGGCGGGCGAGGCGCGCGGGCGCGCTGTAAATCTCGGCCGGCGTCTCCCTCGACAGGTGGATCCCACCAGGTTCTCGAACCCGAGCGGCGCATGAGTCGCGCGCCAAAATGTGGCCAAGTCCTCGCCATGGCGCCGCAGGAAGTCCCTGGGCTAGCTAAAGAAAAACTCCGGGGCGGGTCCGAGCAACCGCGGGGCCTCATTTGCCTCGGAGCTTCACCTGCCCGCGCATGGGCGGGCCCCCCCCTGCAGCTTTCTCTTGCAACTCGTCCAAACTATCCTGCTGAGCTTCGTCGATGACCTTCTTGGCTTCATGAGAGTCATCCCCGTGCGAATTTCAGCACCCGCGGCACCCCTCGCGCAAACTCGACAGGGGGCCCCGCGTCGCGGAACGTCTCGCCGAGCTTCGCGACTGCGCCGTCGGCGCGTCAGAACGCGCGCTGCCCCCTGAACCTGCGCAAGGCGCGCCGAATAAGTATTGCGCCTGGAGCTTTGCATCCTGCCCAACCTGTTCGCAACCTGTTTCACGACGCTATTGCCGCA